TGGGGTGGGGTGGGGGGGACCGGTCAGCGGTCAGGTCAGGTGTACTGCTGGGGAAGACCCGGCGCATCCTTCTGCTTTCCTCGCCTTACCTGGACCTTTTCGCCCCCGCCAGACACCTTGGAGATGTAGCCCATGATGTATTTGGCTGCCACGGTCTTCCCAGCTCCGCTCTCGCCGCTGAGGGTGGAAGGGGGTTGATCAGTGGACGGAGTGAGGGGAAGAGCTCTTTGTAATGCCTGACCACTTATTCATTCATTCATTAAGCACCGACTGTATGCCAGGCCCCGTTCTAAGTACTGAGGATAAAATGGCGAACAAGACAGATAAAAATCTTCACCCATTTAGAGGGACAGAAAGGGCCAGCCAGGCTCTGTGCAGATTGGGCATTCCAGGCAAACCTCTCAGGGGGGGGGTTGTCCGAGTGGGGGTCTGAGCAGCAGGGTCCATGGCCTCCCCGCTGCCACGCACCTGATGATGACACACTGGTTCTCGCAGTCAATGAGCATGTTCCGGTACATGTTGTCCGTGAGCGCATAGATGTGTGGAGGATTCTCATACTGGGCCTGGCGGGGAAGGTCAAGCCTCAGCCCAGGCCCGGGGGTCGGGGGTCTCGGGGCTGTGCCTCCCGCCTGGCCCCGGGCCTCACCGCGCCCTGATAGAGGTCGATCTCGCGGTCAGTGAAGTAGGGCATCTGCTTGAAAGGGTTCACGGAAATAAGCACCGAGCCGATGTAGGTCTGGGAGACGGTTAAGGGCCACGCAGTGTCCTGGGAGGCTTTGTCCCCCCCCCTGGGGCCTCCATTCCCTCATCCTGCCCCTCTGGGGCCCCCCAGAAGCCCATCGCTTGGAGGAGGAGATGGAGACACCCAGATGCACTTGGAGTCTCTCAGGAAAAAAATAGGGCCGGGACCAGAAGGGGGAAAATGGACTGTCCCGGGGCAGAGGCGGCTACCCACACCCTGACCCTGGGGTCACCCCGTCTGTTCTCCATCCCGCCACCCGGTGATCCCACGACCCCCGCCTCCCTCCCCTCATTCCTCTGCCTTTGGGTCCTGGCCGGGCACCTACTCCCTCCCTGCCCGTCCACCCCATCCCCGGACCAGGATACAAAGATGTAGTCGTCCAGGAAACGCTTGCGCAGGTTGCTGGCGATGGCGTCCTCGGTGATCTGGGGCAGCAGCACCATGTCGTCCACGCCGCTCTGCTTCACGTTGTGACTCTGCCAGTGAAACCGCTCCTTGCTGCCCTGGAGATGGGCACGGCGGGAGGGGGTGAGTCCCTGCAGGGGGCTTCTCATGCTGCCCCACCTCTGTCCCTCTTTGCCCATCACGGGGTCACCAGGAGGGGCGGGCAGGCTCCAGCCCCAGCTCCCTGCCCGAGACTGAAGGATGGCTCAGATCCGTCCCTCAGCCCTCTCTGCTGTCCTTCTGTCCATCCCTCCCTCCACCTAGTCCCCTCCTCTGCCAGGAAAATGCCAGGCCTGGTGGGTGGGCACCGTATGGGCAGGGCTCTGCGGGTAGTGGGGGAGAGGCAGAAAGCCCATCCTGGTTCCCAGACCCACTAGCTCCAGCTTCCTTTTCCCAGTCCCCCTGCCTTGACTTTTCAGAGGCATTTGACCTGCTATAAAGTGGCTTCTTTCTTCTATCCCTTCTCTCTCTCTTTTTTTTTTGAGTTGGGGGTCTCACTTTCACCAGGCACGGTCACGTCTCATTGCAGCCTCAAACTCCTGGGCTCAACTGATCCTCCCAACTCAGCCTCTCAAGTAGCTGGGACTATAGATGCAGGCCACACGCCTGGCTAAGTTTTTGATTTTTTTTTTTTTTGTGGAGGCCAGGTCTGTGTCACCCAGGCTGGTCTCGAATGCCTGGGTTCAAGCCATCCTCTCGCCTCGGCCTCCCAAAGTGCTGGGATGACAGGCTTGAACCATGGCGCTTGGTTTTCTTCCTCTCTTGTGGTCATAAGACCCAGCCTGTCCCTCCTTCCGGTGACCTCGTGGCTGTCACCTCTGCCCTCCATGCCCGCTTGTGACCCTGGTTGTCAGCTCCACCCCCTACTTCTGGCTGAGCCTGCCTGCTGCTCCTTCTAAGACTTTCTCCATCCTCTGGGAGCCTTCGCCCTGCTCCCTGGCCACTCCAGCACCTTACCAGGTTCCCACTTTCTCGTCTCATTTCATCCCTCAGTTTTTCATCTAGCAACACCTTCTTTGGGCCCCAGGCATGGGCTTTCCAGGAAACCCCTCCTCCAGGAAGCCTGCCTGGGGTGCTTTTTTTTGGGGGGGGGAGCTGACCAAAGTTACCCAGTGTTTTAAACTCCCCAAACTTTTCAGGCTTCTGCTGTCTCTATTCAGTAACCCCCGCCAGGGCAGCCTCCCTCCTACCCCCAGGCCAAGAGCTCCTGGACTCAGAGGCTGGGCCTGAGTCTATTCTCAGCCTCAGCAGGGAGGATCTGTCCAATGAACAAGGGACAGA